TGAGGAAATCCTTTTGTGGGACTTCTGGAGATGGAGCTTGAGTGAGCTTGTGCTCAGGCCAGCGTTCTTTCCGCAGATTGGGCACACCTTCATCACAGGTCTCTTGTGCTGCCATTTCATAGAAGTCTTTCCATGTATTGTTCTATCGAGATCTAAAAGAACTTTAGCAAAGCCGTCATTGGGCTGCGCTCGGCGGTGAACCTTCTTCAGGATGTTCCATGCTTCAGATAGCGTGTAACCCCTGAAAGTGGAATAGAGTAGCATGAGAGATTCTGAAACTTGAATCAGTACTACAGTGACAAATAAACCGTGCCAGATAGCTTTCTCACTTTCTTAGCATTAAGTAAGCCAGCACGACAGTTGCACTCCGACTTTTTCCCTCGAAACAGTGAACCAAAACTTTTCCTCCTGAGTATTCAACACGATCAATGAAATCACAAGCCTCCTCAAAGATATCGCTGATGTCTGTATCCTCTTCATCACCTATCTGGACATGCCATCAATTTGTTTTTAGACAGATTGTTTTTAAAGTGCATAATATTTCCAGAAAAAAAAACAGTGATAGCATAGACTAAAGTTTTGTACCCTACAAAAACATTAGATATGGAGCACCCAGCTAAGAAGGGCAGCCCAGCTTATAAAACTCCAGTGAATCCAGTGTCTTGGAGGGTCAATGTAAGTATTGCTACCCTTGCAATCAGAGAAGCTATTTCACGCTCAGAAATCCTAGTCACTTAGATTGCAAAGGTGCAATCTTACCATTATATATCAGCTAAAAACTATGAAACTGTTTGACTATTAATTTCAACATTCATCAAGATATCATGAAAGAAATTTTAGAAAGTAAGAAACAAAAGAATATGCTTATGTTGGCCTTCATGGATATCTTTATACCAGTAAAGTATGCCTTGTATTAGTAATTAATTTAATATATCAACCTTATATTCGATCAGAATCCACTTAAGTGAAACTATGTCCTAACACAGAGAAAATAGTTAAAGATGACAAACAAAGACCATATGAAACCTGATTATGCTTATGATAGCCCCACAAGTTCCAGGGGACCAACCCTTTCTAACCTCCCTAATTATCTTCCCCCAAAGTGTCATCTATGATCTAACACCTTAATTACATCTAAAAAAGACTTACTGAGAAGTTCTTGTACTGAAAGAGGTCAGGATATTGAGAATCTGACTGTCCAATCTCATTTGAGCACAAGCACATAATATGTGTGATCCCCAAGTACTGAAGGGTGTACATGGACCTTGCAGCTAGAGCCCCACCAATAAACAGGTTATTTGTAACAAGAGATGGCCTCTCAGTACTTGCCACATCAGAAATCAAAGCTATCCTTTCGAGAATATGTTCAAGTCGGACCTGAAAAGAAACCAAAGATGAGATTAAGGGCTGGTACTGAAATAGGACAGGAGTTGTGCAGTTTACCTTCAACTCATAAGCATCAACGACAATATTATTATCACTGCCCTCAAAGAATCCTGTATTAAAATTCTTTTCCTGGCAAAATTTAACCACATCAGCACGAAGCAATGCATTCCACTCGTCAATCTCTTTGTTCAGTTCAGCATCTACCTACAATCGGCAGTACACATTAGCAAAATGGTTAGCATACATCCACACCGTATAATATAAAAAAGTAGTAAAGATTCTCAATAACACAGGAAGTTAATTTAGAAAAAAAAAAACATCACCAGAATTTCATGAAAAAAAAATAAGTATACACATTGTTCAGAAACACATCAGAACAATGAGTTCCAAGATGCAAAAGACTACTGATACATATAGAGACATGCACAGTCAAATTTGGGAAGTGGGAAATTTTATTATATAGGAAGACTGAAGCTAAGAGCAAAATCAAACACACAAAAAAATATTCTGATATATAGTTTAGTAAAAGCTATGAGAATCAGGCAAATTTATCATTTCTAGTTGCATTCTAGGTTCTTCACCTTTTAATTTATCTTACAAACATAACAACGGAGTGTTAAAAAAATGATGCCATGTTATGCAGGAAATATGAAATAGCAAGACATTTTTGTTCTTCTAACAGATGTTGACAGATAGGAATCTCTTCTAACAAATTCCTAACCTTAGGCAACTTGTGAAAATCACGAAGCTTCATTGTCAACCGAAGACTACGAGAAGGTTCTTCACTTCCTTTGAAGTATCTGCCATTCCAGTTATCACGAGAGATAGGAGAAACTGATTCAGGGCTTCCTCGTGATCCTGGCGGTGAAGATTTTGGAGTAGCTTTCTGCATTATACAGTTGCTTAATTCAGTTGCAATGTGCTGCTTGCATGCAGGTGAGGGAGTACTGCAACCAAATCCAGCCGAGTGAGAAGGTAAATCCAAAGTGCCCATATCATCTCTGTCAGAATCTCCAGAGCTTTTACTAATTATTGACAGAAAAACACGTAAAAGGCCATCCAATTTCTGGTAGAGTGTAAGGAGAAATAAATGGAAACTCTGAAGGTCCCTAAGAGCTGCACGAAATCCTCCACGAAATTCATTAACAATCGCTGCAGTGTCAGTATCATTAAGGGAAGAGCAGGAAAAGTTTGGTGAATTAGCCTCACCAGATACAGGATTTCCCAATCTACCTCCGGATATCTCATATAACAGATTGGAAGAGTAATCCACATTGTTAAGTAACAGCTCAACGAGCTTTGGATATCGTTCCTGATCTTTTGCACGTTTTCCTGCAGGTGGCCGTCGAGGCACTCCAGAGTCAATGGCCACAACATAAAAATCACCATTGTTGTAATCCTCTGCATTTTCTATCTTAACCAATTTGTTGCTGAACTCACTGAATGAATCCGAGCTCTCACATGAAGGGTCCTTGACATGGGGATGTAACCTTCCATTTGCCGAGTTAGATCTTTTCTCTTTCTGTAGAAACCTTGTAACCTGTGGTCCACAGCTTCTAGTAGCAGAACTGGCTTCACACACTGTATCCATGTTTTCAGAGGTCACCTTATCTGCAACTAAGAGATTTGCATAGTTACCCCGCCACCCCAGTTGAGGACAAGGTAGTCTATCCTCATTTCTAAGTATAAGATCTAACATCAAAACCCTTCCAAGTGCTGCAGCAGCTTTTGCAGCGGCTTCCCGTGTTTGAAATGCATTTGAGCTCTCAAGAAGAGATGATCCATGTACATAGCTAGAACATAAAATAGAAGTCTGATGAGGAACTTTGACAAAACAAAAACAATTAAAGACGCATATGGTTCTCATACTTCATTAGGAAAAGGCACCGACTCAATTCAAGAGCTTCTAACAACTCTGAACAAGTTATTTCACCAACTTCATCTCTGGCTGAAATTGCTGCATCTCGTGCTTTTTCTGTAGCATCCTTAATCTGATGCCATTCAGGACTGGAATTATGTACCACTCTTGCCTGCATTAATTTGCCATGGGCCAAAATACAGTTATTTGTTACAAAGAAAATATTCCTTTGGCTTGATAAAGAAAAAGGTACAGACTTGAGGTGTATGCACTCCAAGCCATCTAGCAAATTCATAACCCAAGCGCTCCGACTGTGTGGCCATCCTGGAGGATGCAATCTTTATTACCGCTGCTGCTTCATTTGATGTTAGGCCATCAGTCTTAGAGTTGAATAGAGCAAAGAAAACAACTCCTCCAGAATTGACAGTCACCTGTGCCAGATCATATTAGTGTTATAAGAAGAAATATACATATATTCTTGAAATGCTGAGATAGTTTGTAACCCAGCAATCCATATATGAATCAACTGTGGACACTCCACTGAGGTCTATTGCTGCCAAACAAATCTCAAGTGGTAAGATGGAATCACCTGTGTTCCATCTGTCTTGGCTCTCATCAGTTTAGAACAAATGTAACCTATGATGATAACATTGATTCCTATTTTGCAATCTGGGAGACCGCTAATTGAAAATATTCTAAAACTTGTTTGAGGACAATATTCAATAACAATCCACTAAATGAATTTTTAATTTAATGTACATGAGGAAGAGGAAACGTAGAGGGAGATCATGGCTGACATATCAAGGATTTGGCATTATTGCATCAGCACTCAATACTATAATTTAGACTAAGTAATGGTTTTGACTTCCATGCTCTTAGACCTAATGGATATGGGCTCAACAGTGATCATCTTTCCAATGTACAGGAATTAAATCATTAAAGAAGTGTAAAAGGACTGAATTGAGCCGCTCTATAATAGGAATCAATGGTGCAACTTCTATAATGCAGTCTCTTTCAAAAGGTAAGAAATAATAATAACCTTGGAAGAGTGG